TATAATTATAGTCCAGTACTCATAAACACAGCCTAATCCCACCTCAAAAACTCTTAAGAACACACTTTGCTATTACATTAGTGCATTCAAAGATCTTAATTTTCTTAAGTGATAACTTAAAACTTAAAATTTTGAAAATATCCTATAATATAATACTTATTTATAGTAGATCTAACTTATTATTATTATTTTTTTTTGGTAATGATATCATGTTATCGTGTAATCAACTTGAATAGATTCAAATACCTTGTATTTCGATGTTTTTTTCTCTGAAGTTGTAGTCGTAATAGGAATTCGCAGTTCACCAGAGGAAGTTGTGGGTAGCTTCACCTTTAATCCTTTAATACATATACCGCACATAGATCGATTAAATCAATAAATATAGAAAAAAAATTTAAAAATTAAAATATAAAATTATAAGGGAATCCATACTTACGATCGTAAATCCATATTTGCCAAAACCGAAGCCTGCATCCACTAAAGAATGCATTGGGATGACGTGACATCATAAAAATAGATCCAAATCCAAATTCAAATCTCCCCAATTCGTTTACGGCCAACTTTGGGTTGCGCTTAAGTAGATCCAAGCAAATATCTGGTTTATAAGTGGGAGAAAAGTTACCCCATTATCTACCCCACTACTGTAAAAATATATTTCAAGAAATCAATTATGATCCACCCAGTTACGAAAAAAATTTTAGTACGTACTCAATTGAAAGCAAAATCATACTGTAAAATTAAGAAACTAAAGGCTTTCAGGACTGCTGGGTTGTGTAAGTGTTGTTATTTTTCATCATCTCAAGATATATAAAATTTTAATTAAAATTAACTAAAAATAATAAATTTACATTTTTAAACATGGTACTATAAAAAAATTTGTGAAAAATATTCACAAAAAGTAAAACTTTAATTTAAATTGAAATTTTAGAGATTTATTTTTAAATAATGTTACATTTAATTTTAAAAATTTTCCGATTAAGATATAAGCTACTAGTGTGGACCCGGTCACTAACTCCT